AATATTTTTCAATTTCACATGCTTCTGCTTTGTCATCCGCCATTTTCAATAAATTTTTCTCGCTACATTGAAATAATTCGATTCTTTAATTAGAGATTCCAAGCTTTATTTTCATTTTCAAAAGCTTTTCTATCCTTATTATTTACCAAGTTGATCATTTAAAATTTGGTAAAGTTTTCCCACATTTTAAGTGTACCGCTCTTTTTGGAATGAATGTATAAATTGATCTGGAAGAATCCAACTTGATGGATTCTTCCAGATCAATTTATGGACTTTGGGCTAATTTAGAATTCAATCAAATCGGTCGTTATGATAGAATGAAAAATCTTCCGATCTAATTTCCGATTTTCCCGATTTAATTTTCCCGATTTAATTTCCGATCAATTAAATATTAGATTGGTAACAAAGTTATATCGTTTTTCACGGATAATTGGCTTTACTTGTCATTAAACACAACTAACTTCACTCTAAATCCTATAACTTTTATATTATTTGACAATTGACATTTCAAACTTTAAAGAAAAAAAGAAGTGCATCATTCGGTAAGGAATTGTTTGTTTGGTATTGGGTTAGAAATGGAAAATCTAAATGAACATTTCCATCATTTTTACTTCTTTTATTTCCAAAAAGAAATAAGAACGCTGTGCAAACTCATCAAAAGTTATGTGTTGTGTATGATGAGGATCATACGTTAAGGATGATCCTTAACAGAACACCAGTGTCAGCATTGGTTTGCTCGCTTCTGTTGAGGAGATTTTTCTGCGAAAGGTGCATCACGGTCAGGCCGACCAATTGAGGTCGATGACGACAAAATAAAAGCATTGCTTGAAGCACCATCATATGACACGGGAGGTCATTGAGAAGTAAAACGTATAACATATAAGCATTGAAAACCATTTAAAATAATTTTGATACGTCAACAATCTCGATATTTAGGTCTCATATGAGTTCAAAGAAATTAATTTCATCATACGTATCAATATCAGCGATTCTCTTCTGAGATATGAGCAAAACCATCAGTTTTTTAAACGAATGTTAATTGGCGATGGAAAATGAATTGTTTACGATAATATGGAACGAAAAAGATCTTGAAGTAAACGTGATAAACCGCCACAAAGCACTTCTAAAGCAGATATTCATCAAAAGAAAATTTTGCTATCTTTTTGGTGGGATTACAAGGATATTATGTTTTTTTAACTGTTTGAGCATAAACGATAGTCGATTGATTCGGAAATGTACTGTCATCAATTGGACAAAGTAATCAAGCTGAAGCATCCAGAACTAGTAAATCGTAAAGATAGCTTTCACCATGACTACGCTAGGCCACATACATCGTTGCTCACCCGCCAGAAATTGTTGCAGTTTGGATGGGATTTATTACCACACCCATCATATTCGCCTGATTTTGCACCATAAAATTACCATTTATTTCATTCCTTGCAAAATTCTTTAAAGGAAAAAAAATTCGATTCTGATGAGGCTATCAAACAGTACTTGGATCAGTTTTTCGCCGATAAGGCGAAGTTCTATAAGGCCGGAATCATGAAGTTACCAAACAGATGGTAGAAGATCATTGAATTAAATTAACAATATATTACAGAATAAAGCTTTTGCTTTGTATGAAAAAATCGTTTCATTTTTGAAAAAAACATGACTTTCTTGCCAGTGTTACGTCCTGCGAACTCCGGACAATTAATTAAAAAATCTTTTTTTTCCTTTCTCTCTCTCTTTTCGAACTTCTATTCTCCTAATATAACAATGGACATAGGAAATAGACCCATCTGGCGAACAGCTGTCGCGCCAAATGAAAGGCGATTCAGGAAAATTTCATAACAGAAAACAGTGCCCTGTTGTAAAAACCTAGAGTTTATATCTGAATAGTGTTTGCCAAGTGTGTCCGTCGGCTTAGCTGTAAACATTTGAAACTCTGCGCTAACAGATCTCCAGTAGAACAAAGCAACTCGAAATACTCCTGCTCTAAAACTTTGAAACCTAATTTCCCTAATCTAAAACCATATGCTGCCTAACAACAAAGTTTAGTAAAATCTGATCTCAGCCTTTGATTTTTGGCATCTTGACTTTTCCAACTGGCCACTTGTATACATCTCTCTACCCCACAAGAATCCACCACCATCACACTTATCATGCCTAATCATAACCTAACCACCCAAAACTATGAGATATCCCTCCGCTATAAGACGCTCCACCCCTTATCCCATCTATATTCATGTCTTCTAGAACTAACTGTTTCCTCCCACGATGTCTTTTAACTTCTAATGGCTAAAACTTTTTCCCACTAAGATCAACCAGGACCAATACTAAAAATTTACTAATTAAATCTTTGACATCATTGGGCTCTTCTTGGGGCCTTACCCCTTCCCCGAAGGCCATCTCTCTACCCACCCTGGCGGGTCCTGTCTCCGATCATCAGTATGAAAACCGCGACATACGCCTCCGCGAGCACTCAGATATTCTGATTTTGAGCATTCAGACACTCAGATTCAAATATTCAGATATCCAAGATTCACATTCACATATCCAGATTTCCAAGTTTCGTACGTTCAGATATTCGAGGATTCAGATATTCGGGTACCCAGACATTTACATTTTAATAAAGCTGTCAGTTGTGACAAGTGCGCAGTGTTTTCCACGAATACCATTCTTAGTGAGGTCTCGCCAATCTTCCGCAATCACATAATCATCTGCAAATCATCAGCAAAATTGGGCGTCCGGAAGCGGCACACCCACGTAGACCATTTTCAATTATTCTCTTCCTTGCGTGAAACACCCGGAATCAGCAGTAAGTTTGTTTTCGTTATGTTCTACCTTCCTTACCGCCATTTTTATTAATTCCACCTTTTTTGAAATCCGGTTTTAGTGGGCCATTATTATCATTCTGTGGTACCCATCCATCGAGTCCTCCACCTCTTCGAGACGGTGTAAGGGATAAGAGACCCCTACGAATTTGAACACCAACTTCAATATCTCCGTTCTATTATTAATATCTCCCTAGAAACCGATTATTACCCAGACCCAACACTCCTACCCTTTCCTACTCCAACGTTTACCTCTTGGTCCTTCTTCTTCTCCTACTTGTGCGTCCACTCCTTCTACCTCTTCAATATCCTATTCCCCTGTTTCTTTCTCTGAACTATCCACTCGCTTAAATTCACCTGGCTATTCACGTTCCCCCTCACTTCTCTATTCCCCCCTAACTCTCTATTCATATTCCTTCCCTTTTTCATTCCTTCTTCTTCCACTTCTCACACACATGCACATACAATCATTCGCGTAAATTGTCATATGCTAAACCGCGCCGTTGTATTATTTGTTATTATCTTCATTTTAATAAATCTGTTAATAGTCTATTTTCATTCAATTAATTTCAAAATCCCCCTAACCCCCCACCTTTCAACAGTTGACTCATGGTCCTATCCCCGGTAAATGGATTCGCGTCCTTGACCGAAAAACGGACCGCTCGTCGTACGTGACCGAGTAAAGGGACCCGTCGGGTTCTTGACCCGTTCCCTGGCACGCGTATTCGCCTTTCCTATGAACGAAAAGGTTGCGCTCCTCCTCTAGGACGTAACACCAGCTTACGTCGTATAAAGTTCGTTTCAGATTACCGACTATAAAGATCGACCCGATTGTTGACTATGACTATCAATATTTAATGATTCCAATCATAATGAAATTATTAATAGGTCTATTTTTTTCAAATCGGCTGATGCAGTTAGTAGGTACATCATTGTTATTAGTCCACTGAAAATTAGCAGTCGTAGTCGGCATAGGCACTGTCAGGCGTAGTTCGTCTTCAGGCGGTAGTCTAATAACGGCTTTTAAGTATATGCGACCGGTCTGGTACTTGCCTGCGCGTTCATTTGGCGCAAAACGTTACCGCGAAGTCTCTATCTCTTTCGTTCTATCGTAGTTATAACAAGAGAAGGCTCTATTTCTTTCACTTTCCACTTCGCGCACCACTAGTATATGTATGCATACAAGACATTACCAAATCTCTTTCTTATTAATACATATTGGTTTTATGTTTTCTAAATATATAACTGTAAACATATATATTTCTTAACTGCTTATATAATGTTTGTTAACGATATGTACTACCTGTGTTAATACTTGACGCGAAACATTACCGCGTCTTTTGAAGGAGACATGGTAATATCTCTTATGACATCTTGTGAGCCTGCTGATGTATGTACTTGGCGCTAGATACTACTGTATGTTCTGATAAGAATACTTAACGTAATATTTTTAATCGATTATATATACGAAATCTTGCACGTATGATGTTTTATGTAAGCATCGTTGAAAACCAATTATTCGAACATAATATATCTAAATCCATGCAATGAATGCAACAATTAGTTATTTCGACAAAATTGTAACACATAAGGAACTTGCCGGTTTAAAAAAAATTAGAAAGTTACTTGCAAGTGCTTTTTTTACAAAGTAATGCATTCGCGCGATTCATAAATTGCAATGCTATAAATTACTTTCACTAGAAAGTAAAACAGATTTATTTATTCACGATGATACATTATATAAATAAACTACAAAAGGAGATGTCATTTTTCATGTTCGTATGTTATCACAAGTTTCTTTACTTTCTATTATAACTTCCTGTTCTTGCAATACTTATATTGGCGAGAGGAAAATTGATATATTCACATTGATTATTTTGAGGATAATGCGTTGATTTCCCTTGCGAGAGAAATTTTAATAAACTTCCGACTTTACTTTTTTCTGTGTATGTTAGGACACTTCCGAACCGAATAATCTGTAGAAGGGGACCACATGCGAGAAAGGCACTAGCATTACTTACCACCGAGCATCGAAGCGTGAACAATCAAGTTGCAACAGGAAGGATTGCGAAAATCACGCTTGCGATAATGCTCGCGAGCGCGAAACCGCACGTGAGATTTCGTATAACCACTCCAGTGAGAGTGTTCTCTCAAGTGGGGCGAATTGTGCGCTTAGAAACTATTTTCCGTATACCGTTCACTGATTACGCTTCCGTTTATAAAGCTGATCAAGAAAGAGTCTTTTAGTCTTAGTCCACGCACGGGCTTAGAACAATCAAACGCACATTCCGTGTACAAAGCGCAAACATGGCCAAGTCCGGAATTCATGTGGGTGTCAAGTCCGAAGTGTGAATCTGTTCGGTGTGACGACCGTTTCTTCGACACGTTTCGCGCCATGTGGATCATCGATTCTCCACGTTATCAAATTTAATATATGTTTAGAAAGTTACTATATATATTTATAAAATATATTTATAAAATATATTTCTTATAAAATTTCTATAAGATTACAAGAAATATGTTATTGAAAAAAAGGATAACATATAATGCGCTTTATAAGACGTAAAGAAATACTTTTTGTGTTTTTAATAACTTACATTGTTCAAATTTGGAGCATTCCTTGTCAAAATGTTTAAATAACGCGATAATGATAAAAATTCAATAAAATCGACGCGACGTGGGACGTGTTCATTATGTGAAATAAATGTCGCATTGCGATATATTGTAGATATGTTTCGATTGTTCATAGAGAAAACATGTACCTTTTTGTAATTAAATTCAATCTTATTTTAAAGAAATATTACTATCTCTCAGAATAACTCTCTTGATAATGTGCAAGCACTCTCGAGAAATGACAGGAAGATATTTTAACGATGAAATTTCAGTTTCACCCGATAATTATAATTTTATGATATATCCGCTTCGATCACCACCGCTTCCATCTTACTATTAATTTTCCAATAAAGCTGATGTATGATCGTAGTTCACATTCACACTTTCTCTAGTCGTTACTGTAAAAGACGAGGCTGATTTATCTATTCTATAGATCTGTTCTTAATGTAGTTGAAACTTTTTAATCACAGACATGTGCGTATTTGTTTGTTTGTTGTTGTACGACAAAACAGGTAAACAAGAACAATTTTTTAATTTCGTTTAACATCTTTCTGTTTTAGTTTCTACTATTGCTGATTATCACAGTGATTTTAATATCGGCTATGCCACATCCCGGCGACCATCATGAACAGTAATATCTAATTTCTTATCTTAAAAGTTATTATTATTTTCTTTTATTTCTTTTTCTTTTTCGTATAATATTCGTATAATTTCGTTTAAGATTCGAAATATAAATTTAAAGAAATAAAATTGTTTTTAGTACGCACTTCATCATTCACGTGCCACATCATATTCATAAGCATCATCACACACATGTAAAGAAGATTTACATACCAGTCAAGTCAGACGATCATCATGAGCACGAAGAACATGAAGATGGATGGTAAACTATACTGTTTCGTAATTTTTTCGTAATTAATGATGAAGATGAGCTCTTCGAATATGCTAATTGACGAGGTTCTGACGATGTTATTAACTTGTTATTGTTTCTCACTATTAATTGTACAAAATAAAACGTATTTATAACTTATTTAACTATTTTCTTATCGCATAAACTCTTTCGCGGCTTTTACAGACATATTTGTATAAATAAATAACATGTACAAGATGTTTCTTTTTTAGAAAGTATTCCTTTAAAGGAATAATATAGTTCATATTAAAGTATAATATGGTTCATATTAAAAGTAAAAAATTATAGAGAACACACATGTATATACAATTAATGAGAAATGAAAATGATTAGATGTATTGGTATACATCTAATCATTTACACAATACATAAACGTATGTATATTAATAGTGAATATGCAATATTCCTGAAACATATGGGAATTTTTAAAAGTACGATTGTTCAATATGGATAAAAAATAAATAACAGCACATGACATATTTTATCAAATGTTTATTATACAAAAATAATGATAATAACGTGATGAAAAAATATGTACAGATATCTTTGTTCTGAGTATACACGCGTGCATACAGAATATGCTGGTTCTTATGCTAAATTATTAAACATTTAATAGGCAGCTCGAGTAATGTTGTACTGTTTGATTTCGTCATTCTTCAATTCAACGAGAAAATCGCTTTCTTTCAATGGTCCCGCAATGGAGAATAAATTTCACTAGCTTTGCTCATTGCGCCTTACCACGATAACCTAAAAATTGTATACCTGCTATTAAATATATTAAAAAATCTAGAATTTATGATATTATCATATCGTAATGTATATATAGAATTATAGTAAAATATAATATAATAGAATATATGATAGAATCTTATAAAATTAAAATTAAAGAATTTAATACAAAAAATAATATAATTTAATAGAAAATAAAAGAATAATGTAATGTAAAACATAAAATCGTACCGTAAAAATTATGATATTAAAAATGAAAGATAGCCCTCATTTTGTCTTTAATAAATAAATTACATAGCCATACAAATAACATATAAATAATACAAATAAATAATACAAGATAAATAATACAAACCTAAAACAATATTAAACAAAGAAGATATGCTCCCTTTACCACCAACCCTTTTCTTCATGTATGGGAATAGGTACAGGGACTTTTTCCACGACCGGAACAGGTACATGCACCTTTTCTACATGGTGCACAGGTACTGGAACAGGTACTTTCTCAATATGATGCACTGGGACCGGGACGGGAACAGCTACTTTCTCGACGTGGTGCACTGGTACGTGTATTTTTTTCACATGGTGGTGATGGACCGTGTGCACGTGATAAGGTACATGGATAACATGGTGGTTACTGAAGTCATACAGTTATTTTCCTCGTAATATATTTATATATAATATTTAATTTTTAATATAATATATATTAATATAATTTAATTTAATATTAAATATACTTAAATAATAATAAATGTAAGATACTTAATTTCTCATTCTTAATTCTTAATTTTCAATTTTAATTTTTGATTATTGATTGTTTTTTATATTTTCAATGATTAATTATTGATAATGTTTGATATCCGTCAAAAGTTTGCGATGCTCTTCGTTTTAATAAGTTTTGGACAAAAGTCTCGTGGACAATCCGATGATTTTCATTTGTTCCGAAATTTATTAAAAAGAACACGTTACCTTTCCGCGATCAAGTTAATCTACGTTTAATAGACTAATACTACTTACTGGTGACTGTAACCTGGTAACGGCGATGCCAAAATCGCAGCCATTATTCCGAACACGAGCAACTGCAACACAAGATAGAGAATTGCGATTCCTTTGTGACGTCGAAAGCGCGGCGTCTTTTTATTCATGTTTCACCATTCTTGCTGTCTCTTTTATGTAATTATAAAGCGGCAATGTTAAAGCTTTGTACTTTTAATTCAAGAGGCGACCATCCTCAACCATTTAGATGCAAGACTCGTTCAATAAAATCAAGCTTCCTTTTTCCCAAAGATTTTAATGTTACATGAGAAATCGCAGTGTAATTAATATTAAAACACAAACGATTAACCATTTGATTGCGTCGCGAAATATTTTGGAATAATTATAATTTTATCAAAGATCAATAAAGTTGTTGTCGTTTTATTTTAATTGTTTAAAATTTCTATTTCTTCGCTGCGGCCATTTTGATTTATGACGTTAGAAGCGAGAAATATCGTCTAAAATTTCTTGCGAAATACTTGCAAAAAGATCGGGATTAGTTTATAAATCTGTTTGATTGATTGTAAATGTCATTTTATAGATATATTTTTTATTTTATTATATTTTATAAAAATTTTGAGCGCGCATTTCCTCGCCTGTAATATTATTAATTAAGAGATCTGCAATAAGGAGCCATACTTTAAATATTGATAGACGAGTACATATAATTGACATTTCAACACATTATTGATATCTCATACTTTGAAAATTAAAAATACCCATAAATAATCATATATTTCAAAATAAAACATTTATAAGTCTATTGACAAAGCTTCTATTTTTTAACCAATGCAATAAATTAAATACCTTATCGACAAGTGGCATACTAAGAAAATGCTATTTATATACTGCACAGCTCAAGTAAGAACTAATGAAAATAAATAAAAATTTGTAAACTGATAGAATTTTGTAACTGAAGAATAAATAAAATTTTGTAAATACTTGATTACTTATGTATATCTTCAATAGCATTGTTCTTTTTTATTACAACATTTACTTTAAATAACTATACATATTTACGTAAAATTACGTGTGTTTATGTGAAATTTACAAGAAAATTAATATGAAATTCTCGAAAACCTCTCGACGATATCTCAATTTACATTCACAAAATTCCCGCACATTTTGCACTTGGTTTCGTACAATCTATATTCTGCCATTTAAGAAACACTGGCGATCACAGAATGAATGAGAAACTTTGTCGTGATTCTATATATAACGAAATGATAATTATATACATATATATTGTAATACACTCACGGCTACAGTATAGAAGCGCATCTTCGTCTCGGCCTGTTTCGAGAATCAAGTTACTTTCGAAAAAACGTTCGCGACGACGAGGACAACGGTGAGACCGTGTTGTGCGTTTGTGAACGTCGATACGATGTCTGTGTTTTGACCGTCGGGGATGTCTGCTTATAAAGAACAGACAGCGATGGTCAAAACCACCCGGTGAAATTGCACAGGGTGGGAGAGTAAAGTAGCTCGGGATCACGAGTTATGTAAAAGTAAGGAAACGCAAGGCTCGCGTTACGTTCGTTTCGTGAACGCACGGAGCTGCGTAACTCTCCATTGTGCGTATGGACTGCCTCAGTGAGTTTCCAGTAGTACGACATGCTTGTATGTATGCGAATACATACGCGCGCATGTTTGTACACGATTGGTTTTTATACGAAGATGATCACTTTCGTACGTAATATCCCTCATAGCACATAATATTACAGAAATATCATAGTTAGATTGCAATATACTAGTAATATTACATATTATAATACAATATTACGGAAATATTACTGTTATATTACGTTACGTATTATATTACGTTTATATATAATGTTAAAATATTAAAGTAATAATACTGATATATTACATTTATATATAACATTAAAATATTATAGTAATATTATATTGCAATATTGTATTGCAATATATTTCATCCCAAGTAGCAAGTAGCATCCCAAGTGTCAAATGACGTTTTTATTATATCTTATAGACATTAGAAACGTTATTGAGACGTCATTTAATGTCACTTGCTACTTTGAACGTTATATATTGCATTGGAGTATGAATAAAATATTTCAGGGATAATATATTATTTTGTAATAAGACGATATTTTTCATTAATATTATTCGAACATATATATATATATATATAAACACTCTGCACTGCAATATACGTTTGAGTATTATTAATGAAAAATATATTCGTAACATCATAAAATCATACATAGATATACGCACATATACTTAACTTTCACAGAATAAAATGTAATCAAAGTAAATTTATTATGCATATAGTTTTCGAGTAAATATAATTATATACAGTATTGGCAAGATAATAAATTTATTATGACATGGAATTTTATAAGCTTTTGCGCTAATGTTTTGACAAAGTCATGATTCTATAGATCTGTTTTGCTTTGCTATAACTATTCCAAGATATTGTGATTTGCACGGTGTGTTTCTTGTAAAACAATATTAACATTAAAGATAATATTTCAACGATAACATTTCAAATTATAATATATTAGATTAACCAATATAAAATTAACTCTTGTAGAAAAAGCACTTAAATATTAAGTGTTTACACTCTGTTGTTCGAATATGCTCTCAAATGTGGGTATATATACTTAAATTTGAATGTATATACCCACATTTGAGAGTAAATTCAAATTGGAAAATTAAACACTCAATATTTGAGTGTTTTTTTCCATAAGAGTATTCTATAACTTTACAGTATTATAGTATAGTAAAGTATAGTAATATTATTTTGATATATCACTACAATATTACTATTGACATATCACTATAATATTATCACAATATTACTGTAATATATTACCATAATATTACTGTGATGCATTTCGACGGACATTTTAATATTACTATGATATCACTGTAATGATGTAGTCATATTTCTACTATATTACATTATAATATTGCAATGGGGAAATAATATTGCTGTAATATTACGTGCTATGTGGGATGTAATACAATTTGAGCAGCTTCTTTTCTACATTCGACATGTCTTGTATATCGTAGCAATTTGAAAAGAGACGAAATCAATAAAAGAAATTTGTGATTTCCGTCTCGTCGTCGCCATTATTGTATCGTGACGACGATGAAATTGTTTACCTGATTTGTTTTTTGGTAAACATTGTCGAATAATCATTTTATATTCAGAATACATATATTTAGAATACATTTGTGCCATTTATTAGAATACATTTGTGCCATTTTTGTTTGTTTTAACCGAGAATAGAACGAAAATAGAGGAGAAATACTTCCGTGAATAAATAAGTGAGAGTGCGTGATGCAAATCCGAAAAAAAATTCCATCATTAACTTGCAAATTGATGAATTATACACAGTTACGTTGTATATAAATGACTAGATTTATTACATCACATAGAGCGGAACATGTGGAATATTCATTTTTATGTTTACGCGTTATTAATACAAATAGAAATTGGCCCCACCGAAATATTTGTATATATGTGTATAGAATGTACTATAAATATCCATATATTATTCGGTTATACTTTTTTTGAGTTCCTCTATAACAATCTTATTCGAAAGATGTGACACATACAAATTGCTTTCTAGATCTTCATCTTACCTCAAACATGATACATAATTATATTTTTTACAGGCATACATATTTAAAAGGTGATGTCTTGATATACGAGAATTTTTGTGTTTGCGTATATAAATAAGGTGGATTTCACTCGGTATAGCCATACTGCTACAACGGCATTCATGATTCTTGCGGAGAAACCATTCCATTCCAATAAGAAGAGTTAGAGTTCTGTGAAATATAACTTCATTGCTTGAGTATAATATACCGTAGTCACATAATTGTAGTCATCGATGATATAATGTGCGACCTCCCAAATACATGTCTAGAATTTTGCGGAAAATTAATTATTTCCATACCCTAAACCCTAATTATTTCCAGACCATAAACATGAGCCGATGTTAGACCGAGTGAAAGTTTGCGAATATAATAAACATTCTTATTTGTTTAATGCGAAATAAGTGCTACGCTGCGCGGGCCTGATTATATATAACGATAAATTTTCTCGATTTAAAAGCAGGTTCGCGTTTCCTTTCGTATCGTTAAACTCTATTTTATGCATTAATTAACGTTCTAGACAATAAATAGATCTTAGAAACAATAGCGTAGTATGAAAATATCCTTATAATTCTGCGAAAAACATTCACGTCGTGTTATTTAAAAAATATATCTACACAGCTCATAATTTATAATTTCGGAGTTGTAATATTTTCTTTTTTTAATCATCCTTCTTTATCCTCATACAATATATTTCGCTAAATAGTAATTAAATATATCAGTAATGCAAGAAACACGTATTTTATTTCGTTAATTTATTATAAAATAATGCACAGATGCAACTCACTCTACGATCTTCGATGTTTGGAGACATATTAGGTAAAGTAACTGAGTTGCCGCTATGTCGCGCCGGTTTTTCTGCTTTCCGATTACGTTCCCTAAACAAATAGTTCAGTGTTAAGACCAAGGTAATGATCGAGACCATGTTGTACGTTGTTGACCGTGTTGCACGCTCTGTCGCAATTACGTCCATTCCATTTTTTTTCGACGATCAGGGTCCGGTGAGCCCGTCGGTGATACAGGAAGTGGTGCAGACTGCATACTTAAAATATCCATCATACAGAGAGAAAGCGTTTCGTAATCCTCATATACATACATCCAGCATCGTATACCTTCGATACAGGGCAGGTAGGTGTCTACAATCGAAGAAAAAGAAAAAATGAAAATAAGAAACCACACATAGAAGAATAACAGGTTGATGAATTTGATGACTATATATCCGGTGCTGTGATTGCGTAAATATCGCGGACGCGCAATACCCACTGAGTGATTTTTACCTCTGCATCGTTGGTGTGCTTGAATTTTTCATGAATTTTGAGATTTATGATCGGTAGTATATGCGTAAAACGTTCCTCCGCAGAACAGCGTATAAAATAGTAGTTAGCAAGAACTTTTCGAAATGCGTTGCTTTATATAATATCGAACGAAAGACTATTGTATCGTGCGCGGTAAAAAGTGATATTTTCCTGTATCTTTCAATATTTCTGACTATTTCTTTGAATAAAACTCAGAGAACACGTATGTACAAAGAAGATAATTTCTTCAGGAATAAATTTATTAAAGCCAGAAGAAACTGATTTTAAATCATTTGAATCGATTTCTGTTTGAACTGATTTTAACTGATTTTAATTTCAAGATTTTAATTTCAAGACACTGATTTAACTGTTTTTAATCATTTTAATTTTAAAGTGATAAATATATCAATCATACGATAAGATTTTCTTTTTCCTTTTTTTGTGGAACTTTATGGTGAACATTATTCATAATAATGTTTGTTATATCTTTGTTGTTGACAATGTTTTAATTAAACTAAAAAATTGAACAATCTAAATGTACGTATGTCATGTTAGTATCTCCGAAAAAGTTAAAATTGCGACGGGTCGAAAAAGATACCAATACCTTCAGACCATCGCAATTTATCGCTTTGCGCGATGTCGCATGGCGTGAAAGTCAATCGGCGTGACGATTTTGAGGAAAACGATGACACGATTAACTGGTGATTGGAGAAAATGGGCGGCATGATCGACGAAAGTCAAATGTTGGAACGAGTCCAACGAGATCACGGCGGTATGTTGTAATCGCAAATCGTTGTGCCTAATCATTTAACGATTTACGAACCGGAATCCGAAGAAAAGGCCAATACCGAATTCATTGCTATACTGCCTTTTCAGGCACAATTATATAAGAGTGGTTCCGTTGCGGAAGGAAAACGCCCGTCAGCGCAAAATTGTTGCAGCTATAACGATTACGTTCGCTACTTTTTTTTTCTTTTTTTACGTAACTGCTCGTAACGTGAAACTGAAACAGTATAATGTCGAGTAATTATTTGATTATATGCATATGTGTATGCGTTTCGTGGCTGATATTCTCCGCTTTAAGTACGGCGACTGATAATTGTCATAATTTTTTATACATGACAATGAGACATTGTCTGTTTGGCGTGGTTTATATTGAATAACTTTTTCAAATTGATAAACTATTTTAAACACGGGAAACAAGCTGTGATACAACATTTCATTTGAAGAATTTAATTATTAGCCTACAAAACTAAAAAATAACATCCCAGTAGACATAATAACATGTAAAATACCTGTTTGTTGTAATTTCTTACTCAATAATGTAACTGTTACATAACGCACGCGTTGTGAAGTTTCATTTCTTGTTGTTTTTGAGCAAACATTTCTCGTTGTTGAGCAAACAACTAATAGGTATGTTACATGTTACATTGTTTGCTGAAATGTTACTTATATAACGCCATTATAAATTATACGGCGTCGCAATTACATTTTTGGACAATAGTATTAAATATAAACATTATTTTTATTGTTACTTTACACGTATAGAATATACGCACACACATACGCGCGCGCGCATACACATACAAATATATATAAGTAGAAAAAATGGTAGTAAACTGCAGATTATTAATGAAAATTATAACGACACATTACTTCTTAAACAATAACAGTAATGAGTTATCTCTTAAAATGAGTAACAATAACAATAACATTACTTTTCCCAAAATATAAGTAACAAGTTATTTTTAAAAAGAACCAAATTTTTAAAAACTTTCCCTATTATTAATTTATATATTAGACATGAATGTCTATACTCATGATATACTGTTATCGTACATATTTATTGTGTTAAACTTTAATATTTTCTTTACTTTTCAACAGCAAATATTTTTTAAAGGAATGGAATATACCAAATATTATGCTATATTATTATATATCTAATTCATCAACAAAGTAGTTTTACAATTCTATTTCCTTAATAACAACTCAAAGTAACTCAAAGTAATTATAAGATCTTGCCATTTAGTTTTCAAAATAATATAACATTATTGTAATTTCACGAATGTATTACTTTATTTATAATCTATTTTTATGCGAGAAACATTAAATTATAGATATATATTACAAAAAGAGTCTCAATTTCTCCTCATTTGTACCTGTCTATTAATACATTAAATATTTCTCTATCATAATCATATAAAAAAAAATGCTCAATGGTATGTATAGATTTTTGCTTAAGAATAAAGTTTGTGTGAGCAAGATCGCATAACACTTCACTGTATTAGATTTCATTTAGGATATCATAAAGATATTCTACAATTATTTCTTTTTTTTTGGTTTAGTAGTCATTTCCGATTGTGGTTTTTGCCAATCTAATGGTTTGCGACGATACATTGGCCATGGAGGTACAGTAATTAATGCTGCCATGACAAATCCAGCATCCAAAATATAGATTGTCTGTGAGAATTGTTGAATTATATATCCCCAAGTCAAGCCAACTACCTATAAAAGTATTTATTTAATAATATATTAAAACTAATCTATATATACTATATTATCCATATATAAATATAATAACATAAATATTGAAAAAATGGAACTTACACCAAACAATGTTATTATGACTCTTGCTAATCTCTCTGCTCTAGCTTGTCCATCATAATCCTAAAACAATAAACATAATCCTCACACAGAATGTAAAAATTTATATGTAAGTAAAAACATAACATCTGTGATTTATTTACTTGCAATATAATATAAATTATTATAATTATAAGAAATCCATTAAAATAATGTAATTATATTTACAGATGGTACACAGTAACATAACCTTATGTAACCATTTATCGTTATTTCCTTATCTTAACACAGAAGGTACAATAAAGTCAATACGTGTTTAAAACATTACTTAAAGGTATTGCAACTTACCATGTGTGTTGGAATGGTTTTAAAGTATTTCATCCACGCGTTCATTGTGAACAAATACACGAATGTACCAACGTGTCACGTCTAAACGATATCGATATAAGCGTTCGCTTTTGCTCACTTCGGGTCACTTCGAGTCACTTCGGATCATTTCGGATATGGACGTATGTACTACACATAGGCCGCGTTCAACAAACAAAGCTGTTTATTAAACACTTAGTGATTATTGACAATGATTGGAGTATTGTTTTAGATCTTTAACGAATCTAAAAGAATGAACCAATCAGGAGCGATAATCACTAAGCGCTTAGGGCCAGTTGTTCCAACTTCTTGGTAAGTTAACTAACAGTTAAATCATATGTCTGTCTTTATCCAAGTTGAAGGAAAAACAAAGACAAACGTATGATTTAACTATCGGTTAACTTACCGAGAAATTGGAACAACCGGCCTTTAATAACACAGACTTCTATAGAATACATTAGACATTAGACCGTTAGGGCCAGAGCACAGACTTCTGCATAACGCATAATACACAACGCAAAAGAGAATCAACCAATCAGAGTTCTTCATTTCCCTCCTCAGGACAGAAAGGAAGATGTCCATGATGTCTGATAAGCAAATATGATGTATGTGTGGCAAAATTTGTAAGTGTAGATAACACGGAAAGTGTAACCCAGTTGCACTATAGTGCAGTCTATATGACCTAACTTTCCTACCTTGCGTTCGCGCGAGCAATACATTAGTATTAGCGTATATATGAGCAGTGCATAAATATTGCCGTGTGTATGTGTATGAATACCTTCCAGCTTCCACTTTAAAACATAAGATATTTTGCCATGATGACGATATATGTAACCACCAAATTGATATGGAATATTCCTTGAACTATTATCGAGGTCCCTATAGAGCCAAATTTTGTAATCAAAAATTGCCGTCAAAAATTTATCATATATTAATAAAGCATCCGCCGTATCAAGCATCACTGCGAGTCACTCGAAATATCATTTCACGACATGCAATATTTCGTCTCTTTGACGATACGTATTATTACCAAATTGTTGCAGCATCTTCTTCATACTATTCCCGAGATCAGTACAAAGCCGGATTTTGCAATCCGGTCGTCAAAAATTTTTAATATATATATAAAGCGCCCATCGTACCAGGCAAGGTTGGAGCGAATCAGTTGAAAAATCATTGTAGAAGATGCACAATTTCACCTCGTTGACGATATGTTTCACCGCCAAATTGTTATAGCATCTTTTAACTATCCCTGAGAAACCTACAGAGTCAGATTTTGCAATGAGGCTGTGAGAAATATATCATAAATAAATAAAGATTTATGAAGCATCGGAGCGGATCGCATACAATACTATTTTACAAAATGAGACATATTACTTCACTGATGTAATATATCATCATCATATTGTTACAGCATATCTCTAAAACTATTCCCAAGATCCTCACAAAGCCAGATTTTGCAATCAGGCTGTCTAACTTTTATTATAAATAAATAAAAATGCATCAAACGTCAAGGTGGATTACGTGGACACAATTTCACAAGAAGAGATATTCCGCCTCGTTGGCAATATATGTAACCGCCAAATTGATATGGAATATTCCTTGAACTATTATCCAGGTTCCTACAGAGCCAAATTTTGTATTCCGGCCGTTAAAAATTTATCACATATTAATAAAGCGTGCTTCGTACGAAACATCGCAGCGAGTCCTGCGAAATACCATATTACAAGAAAAAATATTTTGCCTCGTTGTTGTCATATAACAACACCAAATTGTTATAACCTATTCCTCGATCTATCTCCGAGGTCTCTACAAAGGCAGATTTCACAATCAGGCCGCCTAACATTTATCGTATATAAAAGACTATACCGAGCATTGCAGCATGTCACGTATAATTTTGGAACATGAGAAATATTGCCTCGTTAATGTAATATATCACCATCAAATTGTTCGGCCGTATTCCTTGTATTATTCCTAACGTCACTATAAAGCAGGGTTTTGATTATTAACACACATATATATATATATATATACACTCAAACGCAAAAAACCCGGTACACTAAAAATTTGGGAAAAAATTACAAAATTTCAAATGATCATAACTTGGTAAATAATGAAGTAATAATGAAGATACAAATATGCGCAGAAATGCAAAATGAAGCTTGAAACGTCCTCTTTAAGAATATCTGAATGGCAATTATGCTCGGCCATTTTTTTCAAAATGGCGGATGATAAAGTGAGAGGATGCAAAATTGATAATCAAAAGTCCGTGTTTGCGATGGTGCATGGTGTGCATTAGGTATCGCAGCGTAATGGGACCAAATGCAAATGAAAGTATAGAGTGTTATCTTTAAAATGCTACTTTACCGAGCTCGATGTGATCATTTTTCACTGAGTTGTTCCAAATTTTGCTAAAAATGCGGTTTTCTTGTTAAATTTGCATAATTTAGTGAATAAATATCGCATCAAGCTCTATAACGAAGTATTTTAAAGAAAACTTTCTATACTTTTAGGTACTTTTCGTCCCATTGAGCTGCGACACTTACTTTGCTCCATGCGCCGTCGCACGCTCGAACCTTTTTTTAGCAACTTTTCATGTTCTCCTTTTTATCACCCGCCATTTTGAAAAAATATCGTTGCGCACAATTTCGATAGATCTTTCGAAAAGTACGGTTTCAAAGCTTTCAAACCGTTTTTGAAATTTGCTGCTAGGATATTTAGGTGTCGAGATATTCAATTTCGAATTTGCAACAAATGTCGATTCAGCGAGGCTTAAGGGGCTAAGAGGCTCTGCGGTTCGTTTGGTTCTTTCATAATTTCAATAGCTGTGTTCATGTTTCTCTATATAATAATTTACATAACCTGCACAATATATTCAATGATTTGCATTTATTATTTTGAAAGCCAGGGAAATGAAAGTAAAATTCAATTTAGGTTCTTCATTTTGCGTAATCGATATTACGTAATAAAGATGAATTGCGTTTTAAGATACCGCTGTCATTAGCTCAAATTATGGTTGTAAGTCTTCCCAATATAAACCGCATAGAGTTTTACTGGTAGGAAAAGTCCCATTGTATGTAGTGTGTGTATGTGTGTGTGTGTGTTTGTATACCACAAGGATAAGGACCCCGTGGTTCGTCAGCTCCACAGTATTTCAAGATTTCACACCCTCCTTGTGGTGTGTGTGTGTGTGTATATGTGTGTGTATGGTGTTACAGCAGAGATAAGGACCCCGCAGTTCGTCACTCCTGCAGTAATTAATGACTCCAAACCCTCTCTGCTGTGTGTGTGGTGTGTGTGTATTAATAGTGGGTATGATTGCCTGGTACGATGGGCGCTTTATACAATATATTAAAAATTTTTGACGACCGAATTGCAAAATCCGGCTTTGTACTGATCTCGGGAATAGTATGAAGAAGATACTGCAACAATTTGGTAATAATATGTATCGTCAAAGAGACGAAATATTGCATGTCGTGAAATGATATTTCGAGTGACTCGCAGCGACGCTTGGTACAGCGAACGCTTTATTAATGTATGATAAATTTTTGACGGCCGGATTGCAAAATCTAGCTCTGTAGGGTTCTCGGAGATAGGTCAAGGAAGATACCATAATAATTTGGCGGTTATATATATTGTCAACGAGGCAATATATCTGTTCTTGTAAAATTGTATTCCGCCTGACTCGCTGCGATTTGGTACAGCTAACGCTTTATTTATGTATAATAAATTGTTAACAGCCTATTTGTAAAATCTAACTCTGTAGAGATCTCGGGAATAGTTGTAGGAAGATGCTAAAACAAGTTCATGGTCATATATTACGTCAACAAGGCAAAATATTGCTTCTTGTAAAATGGTATTCCACCTGCAATTCCTGGTACGGCTGATACTTTATTTATATATTATAAATTTTGGACGGCCGGATTGTAAAATCTGGCTGTGTAAGGTCCTCAGGGATAGTTCAAGGAAGATGTTGTAACAGTTTAGCAATTATACGTATCGTCAACGAGGCGAAATTTTGCATCTTGTAAAATAATTTTTGGAATGATTCGCTGCGATGCTTGGTGGCGGACACTTCATTTATTAGAAGCGCAAAAAAGTTCTGAGCCTTTTTTTGCAAAATTCGAAATTTATTTAAAAATAAACAAAACTATATTAATCAACGAAATATTCCCCGTTTGCATCGATGACCTTTTGCCATCTTTCGGGCAGCTTGCGAATTCCCTGATGGTAGAAGCTCACCGGCTTCGAGGCGATAAAGTCATCAATGCATTTTCGTATCTCTTCAAGTGTCACAAAATGTGTATCAGCCAAGAAATGCTGCAGAGACCGGAATAGGTAGTAATCGGAAGGCGCCATGTCTGGGCTATACGCCGCGTGCGGGAGAAGTTCCCAGCCTAACGCAAAGATATGGTCCTGAGTCACTTTCGGAACATGTGGTCGGGCATTGTCATGAAGCAGTATCACTTTACGACGTCCTTAGCCAGTAAATGGCCTCTTTACTTCAGACGCATCGCTCAAATTGCTCAATTGTTGCTGATAGCGATCTGCCGTTACTGTTTCACCCGGCTGTAACAACTCGTAATACAATGCACCTTTCCAATCCCACCATATGCAAAGCAAAACCTTCTTGGCGTGGATATTGGTCTTTGGCGTCGATGTCGAAGGTTGACCAGGGTCAACCCATGATTTTTTACGCTTCGGATTATCATAAAGTATCCACTTTTCATCACCTGTAATGATTTGGTGCAGAAAATCCTTTTTCCGGAACCTTGAAAGCAAAGTGAGTGCCGTGTCACGCTGTCGATTTTTGTTGTCTTCGGACAGTGCATGCGGAACCCATCTGCCTTCCTTTTGAACTTTTCCCATTGCATGTAAACGTGTGGAAATGGCTTGTCGCGTAACGCCAAGTTGCTCTGCAAGCTCCTTTTCAGTTTGTGCAGAATTTATATCCAACAATGCTTGCAGTTCGTCCGTTTCAATCTTTTGAGGGCGTCCAGCACGCGGTTCATCTTCAAGACTGAAATCTTCTTGGCGAAATTTTTGATACCACCTTTTACACGCAGCATAACTTACAGTTCTCTTCATATGCAACACAGATCATTTCAGTGGCTTCAGCGGCATTTTTCTTCAGATGAAACGCGAAGTGGATGGAAAATCGAATATGCTCTTTTGTTATTGCCATCGTGAACACTGCTGATTTTAAAGTTATGTGCATCAAACGCCAAATCGCACGATGTTTCAAAAGACCAAATGTCACTGCTTTAAAACCGCAAGAGGGCGGGAAAATTAATGCAATTTAAATTGTGGTTTCAGTAGTATGAAATCTAGGGCTCAGAACTTTTTTGCGCTCCTAATATTTTTCATAAATTTTGGACGGCCAAGTGACAAATTGCAAAATCTGGCTTTGTGGGGATCTCGGGAATAATATAAGGAACATGCTATAATAATTTGGCGGTGATATATAACGTCAGCTAGACAAAATATGTCAATTTGTAAAA